TTTCACAGGTCGGCGCAACATCGAGGGCCGAAGGGCCGAAGGGCCTGTACTGCGCTGTAATGTTCTATGTTCTATGTTCTAAACACATCCAATACGGTCAGCAAATACCAATCCCCATTTTTTGTTTTAGGTAGAGATCCTACGGAATCAATCAAGAGTCAAATTTTACACCAAAATTATTCAAGGAAGTTATGGATATATTAGGAATAAAATAATTCAAATCTAATGCATTCAGACATAGTAAGAACTGCCGATGCTGGAGTCAGAGGTGGCACAATGTGGAGCTGGAGGAACACAGCAGGCCAGGCAGCATCAGAGGAGCAGGAAAGCCAACGTTTCGGGTCAGGACCCTTCTTCAGAAATGGGTTTTTGAAGATTTCTGAGGGAGGGTCCCGAACCAAAACATCAGTTTTCCTGCTCCTCTGATGCTGCCTGGCCTGCTGTGTTCCTCCAGCTCCACATTGTGTTATCCAAACCAAATGCATGCCTTCCAGAATCACAGGGAGTGTTAGAATGGAGGCATCAAACTTTAAAGACCACGTTGAGGGCTTGTTGTCAAGACTGTCCAGGGGACTGGGACAAAGGAATTTCATTTGTACTTTTTACAAATGGTATGCACCAAACAAATCTACCAAATTCAGTCCATTTCAATTAGTTTTTGTGCATGTGCTGAGAGGACCACTGAAATTAATTAAGGAGAAATTGGTGAGTCAGAGTTCAGAGATCACATATTTGGACTATGTGTCAAATTTTAGGGAAAGATTAAATACAGCAGGTGAGTTGGCTAGACAGCATTTAAAGGTGACACAGAATGTGATGAATTGTAAGCAGACAAGAAATCAAAAATTCATAATTTTTAAGTGTTACTTCCAGTGGCAGGTCAACCCTTAAAAGCAAGGTTTAGTGGGCCTTAACAAATTGAAAGTAGATTGAGTGAGGTGAATATTTGATAAGAAGGCCAGATAGCAAGAAATCACACAGAATGTGTTATGTGAATATGCTCAAAAAGTATTTTGATAGGGAAGGAAAGCAAAAGGAGAATGTGTTACCGATTACAACAGAGTGAAAAACCAGGTTCAGAGGATTCAGAATTGGACACTCCTCAAAATAAATTGGTTAATGAGGAAGTTTTCAAAAATTGGGATAAATAATAGTTATCTTCTAGCGGGAAATCAAAATGATGTGAAAGAGTTATTACTATCGCATGGGGAGATATGTGGGAACAATCTGGGAAATACTAATCTAATTACGCATGATGTAGAAATGGGAAATGCTGTTCCAATTAAGCAAAATCCTTATAGACTGAACCCTCTAAAGTTGGCACAGGTTCAAAAAGAGATTGAACGTGTGCTCAAAGGCAACATACTCGAAGTGAATTGTAGTGATTGGAACTCATCCAAAGTAATGGTGGCAAAACAAAATGGTACCCAATGATTATGAGAAGACTATCGCAAAGTCAATGCACTTACAAAGTATGATTCATATCCTATTGCATGTTTGGAAGACTGTATTGAGAAGGTGGGATAAGAAACTTATATTTCTAAATTGGGACTTACTCAGAGGAAACCAGCAGTTACCTTTATCTGAAAGAGTAAAGACAATTTTGCCTTTCAGACACCAAATGGACTAAAAAATTTAAAGTCATGGAATTTGGTATGCATAATATGCCAGCCTCTTTTCAAAGACTAAGCAAAAAAGTCATTTCTGAATTACACAATTGTGTGCTAAACATCTACAACCTGGTGATTTTTAGTGACACATGGAAGGAACATTTGCAGCATCTATTGGAATTGTTCGTTTGACCTTGGGAGCTGGGATTGTTGATAAACCCAGCTAAGAGTGAATTCACAAAAGCCCAAGTCACTTTCCTGGGACATGTTATTGGACATAGAGAAACGGCCCTACAGCATATGAAAACAAACATTTTTCTGGCATTTCCCGAACTATCAATGAAGAAGGCGCTACTATGATTGCTGGGATTGAGTTGTTCTTATCAGAAGTACGTACCCAATTTTTTAGCAGTGTGGCTGCTCCGTTAATTGAATTATTGAAGACGTGTAGAAAATTTCAGTGGCCAGATGAGTGTCAGAAGGCATTTGACAGCCTGAGGCTGTGTTCAACATTGCCCCAGTATTAGCCACAGCTCATTACGCAAAGCCATTTAAGGTGGCTATCAATGAGGATTTTGTCGATTTCTGTGCTGTAGTCTTAAAAGAAGATGATGTGAAGATAGAAAGACCTGTTGGAGGGAAGGATTTGTTTTTGTGCTGTACATATCTATTACTCTATCACTCAATTTTTAAGATAGGAACATTCTTGGATACACTCAGGTTCGTCTTCAGCTTACACTTATTTTTCCGGAAATACTGAATAATCATCAATGGAAATATTCCATAATTGAGAAGGAAATCTTGAGCTTGCTGTTGGTGTTACATTTCAATCCTTATGTTGCCAAGGTTACATGTCTGAGACAATTGTGTATCCTCATCATAAACCCTTAAAGTATTTGTAGAAATTTAAGGATAAAAATTCTTGACTGTTTAGTTGAAACTTATTATTGCAGCTATTCAATTTGAGAATTATACACATGGCAGGACGAGAAAATGTAATTGCTGATGCATTATCACGACTGATGAAGAAACACAGGATTTTGGTGGCAGGAAGAAACACAGAATCAGTGGTCAGCACTGCTGCCTCACAGCTCCAGGAACACGGGTTCAATTCCACTCTTGGGCAGTGGAGTATGGAGTTTGCACATTCTCCCTGTGTCTGAGTGGGTTTACTCCGGGTGCTCCAGTTTGCTCCCACAGTCCAAAGATGTGCAGGCTAGGTGGATTGGCCATGCTAAATTTCCCAAAGTGTTCAGGGATGTGTAGATTAGGGTGGGTTAAGGGGGATGGGTCTGGGGGGGATGCTCCAAGGGTCGGTGTGGACTTGTTGGGCCGAAAGGCCTGTTTCTACACTGTAGGGACTCTATGAAATGGACCATCATCGTGAATGTTTGCTTAGAGTCAATGTAATGCATATTTATTGTAGTGTAGTGATCGCATAAGAGCAAGGGCTTTTAAAAATGAAGCCATCTTTGTAAATGGATGCTTCATTTTTTTAACCAGGTAAGTGTGACGATTCTGTGGCTTTAAGAGTTACATTTTCTCCTGGTTTCTTTTAAGAGAGAGATTGAACAAGAGGTGACAAGCAATCTGTGGTAATGTAAACTGCTTGTGAGCCCTTGGGCTTCTTAAAATTTAGAACAATAGAAGCAGCCTGGATCGGTATGGCCAGCTCTTACAGACCAGGATTTCTAGCTTTTTCTTAGTCTTCAGATTTCATAGAAGCTGCTAGAGTTGTGAAGAAGGAGAAGCTATTTCTTGCCCTCTCTCGGCTACAACTCGACATTGTAGCAGACACTGCATGTGAGAAAATTTGATTTCTGAATTTGCCTTTCTGGCAAGGAGTGTGTTCATGGAATGTTACTATTTTGTAACAGTTAATTAGAATTAGTTACTTTATCTATGATTTTGTTAAGTTTTCCATTAGAGTTAAGTTATTCTAAGTTCTTCTTTCTTTTGTTGTATTTTAACTAAGGTATTTGAATAAATTGAGTTTTGCTCAATGTTGAGTAGTTTTACTAGATGAATTGCATCTGAAACAGTTAACTTTACATTTGTCTTTAAAATAAGAAAAAGTTAAGGTCTAAGCAACCTTCTTAAAATACCTTGATTGAAACATATTAAATTCTGAGGGGATTGGCAGGCTGGATGTGGAGGGGGTGTTTCCAATTTTGGGACAATCGAGACGTTGTCCATTTAACACTGAGATGAGATGCATTTTTTTTTCCTCTCTTGAATCCCTGTGACTGAGGAGGTGTTTAAAGTGAAATCTCTGAATATTTTTCACACCGAGATAGTTAGATTCTTCATAAACAATGGGTTAAATAGGAATGTGCAGTTGCGGTTCTCAACAAAATACTTTGATCCTGTTAAATTGCATAGCAGGCCTAGGGCTAAATGACTTATTCCTGATTCTGACCTTCATGTGTTTGTCAGTGAGAAGTCAGCAATCCAAACAGGTGCAGAGTAAAATGTGAATTCTCGTTGATAGAGTGATGGAGTCATAGTGCTGTACAGCATGGTAACAGACCCACCGGTCCAACTGGTCCATGCCGACCAAATATCCTAAATTAACCTAGTCCCATTTGCCAGCATTTGGCCCACATCCCTCTAAACACTTACTATTCATGGACACATTCAGATGCTTTTTAAATGTTGTAATTGAACCAGACTCCACCACTTCCTGTGGCAGCTCATTCCATACACACACCACCCTCTGCATGGAAAAGTTGCCCCTTCAGTCCCTTTAAAATCTTTCCCCTCTCACCTTAAACCTATGTCCTCTAGTTTTGGACTGTGCTAACCTGGGGAAAACACATTGACTCCTCACCCTATCCATGCTCCTCATGATTTTATAAGCTTCTATAAGGTTACCCCTCAGACTCCGATGCTCCAAGTTTCAGAACATCCTTCCTATGGTACAGAGAGCAGAATTGAATGCAGTATTTCGAAAATGGCCTAACCAATGTCCTGTGCAGCCTCAACATGACCTCCCAACTCTTATACACAATGCATTGATCAATAAAGGCAACCACATCAAACATCTTCTTCATTATCCTACCTGTGACACTGCTTTCAAGGAAATACAAACTGCACCTCAAGATCTCTTTGTTCAGCGATATCCCCAGGAGCATATCATTAAGTGTATAAGTCCTGCCCTCATTTGTCTTTCCAAAACGCAGCACCTCACATTTATCTAAATTAAATTCCTTCTGCCCCTCTTCGGCCCATGGGCTCATCTGACTAAGGTCCCATTGTACTCTGAGGTAATCTTCTTGGCTGTCCACTACACCACTAATTTTGATGTCATCTGCAAACTTACTGACCATATCTCCTATGTTCACATACAAATCATTTATACATATTACAAAAAGAGTTATTTAAAATCACCTTTTTCCTCTGCTGGGTTTCCAGTAATTCTCTTTTTAATCCACAACAACAATGTATGTCAGATCTATAAAAGACAGAATAGCAACTTCTGTTTCTGTTCAATAAAAGGCAGACATTGTCCATCATTTTCCATTGAAGCAAAAAAAGTCAAACTCCATTTAATTTGCGAAGCATTTCTGACATTTTCCTGAGGCTGTAAACTTCACATGCTTTCCGCTAAAGCCTACGTGTGGGGATCAGACTCACACTGCATCATATCAGGAAGTGTTGTGTGAATGTGTGATTATGAAGTTCCTCTGCGTAATAATCGAATCCCGCCTCTACCGGAGCAATGTTAAAACCTGTAAAGTTTGGCCAAAAGAATGATTAACAATTCATAGAATTTCTAAGAAGCACCCCACAGAGCTGCAAAAGTAACGAGTGAATCATACATGCAGTCGCTGCTGCTTTTCCAATTGAAAGTAATGTTCACCATGGGAACCACAGAGCCATGTTCTAAAATTGAGCTGGGTTCGGATGGCAAACGTGTAACTTTCAACTTTATTCTCACCTTGAACTTGTTGAAGCCGCACGTTCTATTTCCAGCTGCCGATGAAACACCAGAGGCCGGTGTTGCTGCATAACAATGCCAGAGAGCGCTTAGCGCGAAGTGTCACTGAATACAGACCTCAGCGCCCTTCTGGTAGAATTATCGGCAGAACTTCGAAGAGAAAGTAAAGCTGCACTTTGTTTCCAATCAATGTGATTTGCATGTGCACGGGTAACTAATAATCAGTGAGTGGTGCCGATCACAGATCAAAACACTGCATGAATGAATTCATAGGATTTACAAGGGCTTAACTCCTGGAATTCGAATGGGACGAAGACTTTGAAATCTCATTGGGTTTTAATATTAACGGATGCAAAAAGAAGAACCCAGAAAAGTAAAAAGATTCTCTTTCGTAATTTTGGAAAAGGTTCCTAAAAAAAAACAAAACTCCAACTTAGATCAAGCACGGGCCAGTGTTGTAGGTTTTCTGTCGATTTTTACAATCCATTCTGGTAAATTCCCTTTGACCAGTGTTTAAACCTCCCAGAATGAACACATGAATACCCTCAATGAATTAGCAGGCATGAAATTCCATACTACCAATTAAATTTCAATATCAAAGATTATAAAAAAGAAGCAGCAAAGTAGTTTATAGGCAGGCACATACATGGCAAAAGAAAATGCAAAACAGGAATCAGGTCACTAAATGATACAGTAACAACATTTCACATTTGCAGTTTGCCTTTCGCACAACAGAATGTCCAAAACTATTTCACAAAGGCATTGTCAAGGAAAATTTTCTATTGAACCACAGAAGGAGATATCAGGTCAGGTGATCAAAATCTTGGTCAACGAGACAGTTTAATGAGCATTGTAAAGAATGACATAGAAGTGAGAGAGTGCGAGGGAGACAGAAGTGGAGAGGTTTTCTGAAGGATTTTACATTTGAGGGCCCAGGTATAGCAACAAAAGCTGGAGCAATTAAAGTCGTGGCTGAGAAGAGATCAGAATTAGAAGTAAGAAAGAAATTTGGTAGGTTGTAGGACAGCGGAAGGGTGAAGAATGGGTGGGGGAGGAATTATTCGGGGAGCCATCAACGGCGAGTCCAAAGAGGCACTTTGGAATGGATATTTTACTGGACTGGAGGGCAATTTAGGTCAACAGGTTTTAGGGTGACATGTAAACAGAACATTTTGTATGAAGAATCAAAAGGATGACAGGAGATAGTGGTCAAATGCTAAATTGCCTGTGAAATCGTGGGAAGTGAAGGGGATGGTGATACAATAGGAAGAGGTTCACTAGATATTTCGAGATTAGACCATCCGTGTGGGATTTGGCAGTAATGATAGCACAGTCTGCTGGTATATCACCGACGGAGGAGATTGTAATTTGGAAATTAGAGTATTCAGTGGCCGAAAAGGCTGAAATAACTGCTAACCTGCTGTTTCTTTCATGGTTGGAAGATGATATTTTGAGCAGGTCGGTGGCTCAGTGGTCAGCATTGCTGCCTCACAGCGCTTGGGATCCGGATCCAATTCTAGCCTCGGGTGACTGTGTGGAATTTGTACATTCTGCGTGGGTTTCCTCCCACAGTCCAAAAATGCGCAGGTTAGGTGGATTAGCCATGTTAAATTGCCCATAGTATGCAGGGATGTGTAAATTAGATGGAATAACCATGGGAAATGCAGGGTTACAGGGTTAGGGTAGCGGGTGAGTGTGAGTGGGATGTTCTTCGGAGAGTCAGTGTGGACTTGTTGGACTGAATGGCCTGTTTCCACATTGTAGGGAATTCTATATTTAGATTTTTATTTCCACATGTTGTAAACAGGGTTCCTTCGCAATATCTAAGGTGAGATGGAGCAGTATTTAAAATGTTGTGGTACGTCCCTTAGAAACTCAGTAAATATTTGCTTTTGCAATCCTGACAGCATTGAATTTCACAGCCATTTTCTGGAGTTGCCTTTTGAAACGTATTTTTCAGTTGTACCACTGTGGTAAAGAGGATAAACTGTGACCTAATGATGCATTGACTCTGTATTGTCACCAGCATTCTGACAATGTAAAATGATGAACATTTAATTTTTTGAACACCCAATGGCTTTTGGAAAGAGTAAGGCAAGCATTGGCATCAGGAACAGTTTAGAGATGAATGAAGAATATTGCACTAAATTGTAAATTATAAGAATTATTCACCCCGTGGTGTATTGGTTCCAGCATGCTTCATTAATTTAGGGACTTATTCGGTCTAGTATTGCAGTGCCAATTGTAATGATGCTGTGACTTTTAGAGCCATAAGATTTTTTCCTAGTTTCTGTTAAGAGAGAGATTGAACGAAAGGTAACGAGCAGTCTGTGGTAATGTAAACACATTGTGAGTCCTTGGGTGTTTTTATGAAGGTGGAACAATAGAAGCAGTCTGGCTGGGTGTGGCTACCATGAGGTGAGAGGACCACTGAAATTAATTACGGAGAAATTGGTGAGTCAGAATCCAGAGACCACACATTTGGACAATGTGTGCAGGGATGTGTAAATTAGGTGGAATAACCATGGGAAATGCAGGGTTAGGGTAGGGGGTGAGTGTGAGTGGGATGCTCTTCAGAGAGTCAGTGTGGACTTGTTGGACTGAATGGCCTGTTTCCACATTGTAGGGATTCTATATTTAGATTCTCTTTATTTCCATATGTTGTAAACAGGGTTGCTTGGAAATATCTTACATGAAATAGAGCAGTATTTAAAATGTTGTGGTACGTCCCTTAAAAACTCAGTAAATATTTATCTTTGTAATCCTAACAACACTGAATTTCGCAGCCATTTGCTGTAGTTGCCTTTTGAAACTTACTTTTCAGTTGTACCACTGTGATAAAGAGGATAGGTGTGATCTAAAAATGAAATGACTCCGTATTGTGAGTAGCATTCTGACAATGTAAAATGATGAACATTTAATTTCTTGAAAATCCAATTGCTTTTGAATAAAGCAATTTGGTTTGCATAACATTTGGGTAAAGCATTAACATCAGGAACAGTTTGAGATGAATGAAGAATATTGCACTAAATTGTGAATTGTAAGAATTATTGTCCCCATGGGATATTGGTTCCAGCATGCTTCATGAACTTGGTGATAAAATTGGGTCTAGTGTTGGAGTGCCATTGTAAGGATGCTGTGACTTTAACAGCCATAAGATTTTTTCCTGGGTTCTGTGAAGAGAGAGATTGAATGAAAGGCAGCGAGCAGTCTGTGTTAATGTAGACAGCTTGTGAGGCCTGGCTGGGTGTGGCCACCATGAGGTGAGAAGACCACAGAAATTAATTAAGGAGAAATTGGTGAGTCAGAGTTCAGAGACCACGCATTTGGACAATGTGTCAATTTTTAGGGAAATATTAAATAGAGTGGGCCAGTTGGCTAGACAGCATTTAAAAGTAGCATAGAATGTGATGAAACACGATGCAGACAAGAAATCAAAATTTCTTGATATTGCTAGTGGAGTAAAATGTTAGTGTTACTTCCAATGGTAGTCGGCATTTAAAAGCAAGGTTTAGCGGGCATTATCAAATTGAAAAGAGATTGAATGTGGTGATATATTTGATAAGAATGCCAGATAGAAAGAAATCATACAGAACGCATCATGTGAATATGCTCAAAAGATATTTTGATAGGGAAGGAAAGCAAAAGGAGAATATGTTACTTGTTGAAACACAGTGTGAAAAACCAGGTTCAGAGGATTCAGAATTGGACATTCCTCAAATTGAATTGGATAATGAGGGAGCTCTCAAAAATTGGGATATATAATAGAGTTACCTTCCAGAGGAAAACTGAAATGATGTGGAAGAGTTATTACTATCACATGGGGAGATGTGTGGGAATAAGGTGAGAAGTACTAATCTAATTACGCATGATAAAAATATACGAAATGTTGTTCCATTTAAGCAAATCGTTATAGACTTAACTGTGAAACGTTGGCACAGGTTCAAAAAGAGATTGAATACGTGCTCTAGTACAACTTAATTGAAGTGAGTTTCAGTGATTGGTGTTCACCCATAGTAACAGTGTTAAAATCAGATGGTACCCTATGATTATGTGTGGACTATTGTAAAGTCAGTGTCAATTCAAACTCTGATTCATATCCTATTGCATGTTTGGAAGACTGTATTGAGAAGGTGGGACACGCAACTTATATTTCTAAATTGGGACTTACTCAGAGGAAACCGGCAGGTACCTTTATCTGAAAGAGTAAAGACAATTTTGCCTTTCATGACACCAAGTGGACTATATCAAATTAAAGTCATTGGAATATGGTATGCAAAATAAGCCAGCCACATTTCAAAGACTAACCAATAAAGTCATTTCTGAATTACCCAGTTGTATGCTATACATCTACGACCTGGTGACTTTGTGACACATTGAGGGAACATTTGCAGCATCTATGGGAATTGTATGATTTACTTTGGGAGATGGGCTTTGGTGATAAACCTGGCTAAGAATGAGTTTGCAAAAGCCAAAGTCACATTCCTGGGCCGTGTTATTGGACAGGGACAGATGGCCCTACAGGACTTGAAAACAAATATTTTTGTGGCATTTCCCAAACCATCAATGAAGAGGGAACTACTATGATTGCTGGGATTGAGTTGTTCTTATCAGAAGTTCGTACCCAAATTTAACAGTGTGGTTGTTCCACTAACTGAATTATTGAAGACCTGTAGAAGATTTCAGTGGCCAGACGAGTGTCAGAAGGCATTTGACAGCCTGAAGCTGTGTCCACCATTGCCCCAGTGTTAGCCATAGATCATCATGCAAAGCCATTCAATGTGGTTATTGATGCGAGTTATGTCGATTTGGTGCTGTACTCCTAAAAGATGATGATGTGAAGATAGAAAGACCTGTTGGGTATTTTTCTAGAAAACTGAATGATCATCAATAGAAATATTCTATGATTGAGAAGGAAACCTTGAGCTTGGTGTTGGTGTTTGAACATTTCAGCCTTTATCTTGCCAAGGTTATGTATCTGAGTCAATTGTGTATCCCAATCATAATCCTTCAAAATATCTGTAGAAATTTAAGGATACAATTTCCTGACTGATAAGTTGGAACTTATTATTGCAGCTATTCAATTTGAAAATTATACACATGGCAGGATGAGAAAATTTA